ACAGAACAAAAAGCATAACAAGTGTTCATGTTATCATTCATGGAGACACGAAGTATCAGATCATTCTCACAGATTCACATGAGACACACAAAGCCTCCGGAGTGCTCAGAGGAGGGCCTTCTGTGGAGCACAATGTGTGCTAACCGGGACAGTATTGGGAATATTTCCCTTCAATGGCACAGATGTCATTCAATCTGCGTCTGCCATGAGGCTGAGAGAGTGGGGGGGGGGACAAAGGCCGGGGGCCACAGAGGACGAGGCGCCTACCGTCCGAGTAGGGCAGCGAGACGCGGTGCTGCCCGGCCAGGAAGACCTCCCCCGCCGGGCTCAGCGTGATCTCCGTCCGGGGGTCCTCGTCCACCACCAGGCTCACCGACTGGATGCAGGCCCCGTCCAAATTCTGCAAGCCACACAAGACACTGTTTTCCCCAAAAGGATTTTAAAAAATGAGTCTGGAGGCTTTATTAGAACGATGGCTATGACATCTGACCCTTCTGGGTGGATACGTGCAAAACACTTGACAGTCCACGTCTACATTAGGGATGTCCCGATCCATCTTTTTTATCCTGATCCCGGCCTATCAGAGCCTGTACTAACGTTTAAAGTTATTTATCTACTTACTTAGTTGTCAGACTCATGTTGAACAGTGATTTACTCTGATAACAACTTAATGGTTAGGACACAGACCTGTGGTTACAGATGCTAATGCTAATGCTAATGGTGGGTGATCAGACTTTAAAATAAAAACTGGATCTGGATGTTAAAATATTGGTATGTTGATTTAAATATTCCCATCAGAATACACTGTAATTCCTAGAATTGGTTCCAAAAACCTACGATAACTCCCTAATAAATACTGCAGATAATTACACATAGCAAGAAAAAAAATTACTTATAGAGGAGAGATGGAAAAAGAAAGAAACGAGAAAGAAATAATCAATAAAAAGGGTTTTTATTGGCCCGTTCCAGCTTTTTCCACTTCGGATCTGAAACCTTCCGATCTGAAACCGAGCCTGTACTAAAGTCTAAAGTTATTTATTTACTTACTTAGTTGTCAGACTCATGTTCAACAGGGATTTACTCTGATAACAACTTAATGGTTAGGACACAGACCTGTGGTTACAGATGCTAACGCTAATGCTCGTGTGGGATCGGACTTTAAAAAAAAAAATGGGTCTGGAGTCTGGGGGCTGGCGCTGCTGTTGGTGCTTTAGCTTTGCTCTGCTCAAACACGGCTAAATCGGCCATGTGATGTTTAACTAACAGCAAATAATGAAGACAAATGACGATGTTTTCATTCTGACATTTTTAGCTCAAAAGTACTCAGCCTACGCAGTATTTCAGGCTTTCTTACTGTTCAGAAACCTGACTGTTGTGCTTTGCTTTAGTCATTATACCTGAAAGTGGATGATAAATGACTAAGTGCTGTTAAATTAAATAAACTGTTCAACAGACAGCTGTTATAGAGACTGATGCTGGACACTAATGGACCAGTCAGAGCAGCTGTTTAAGGGGCTGCTATCGGTGCTGGTAGCTAGCTGTTAGTTTATCATGTCGCCTGAAAACACAAAGAACTTGTCGGAGGTCAAAAAGAGGCACCGAAGCCTCAAAGCATCAGACAACAAAAGATGAAAGACCCCAGGTGTCTGTGGACAGAGGCAGCAGCCCCCTAACTGACCACAGACCCCCCCGGTAATCTGGAAGAGCAGTTCTGGCTGTTTTAGGCTGGTCGGTGGTGGCTGAGCCCCCGCCAGAACACTGACATCCTCCAATCAGCTGCTACCGGCCACGCCCCAAACCAGACCCAGAACATCATTTTCATCATTTTTTATTTTCATTCCATTTTACTGCTTTGTCTTTATGTATTTTTAGCTTTTTAGTTTTGACTTTATTTCCTGCAACTGTGAGAGTTTTGTACAGCTTCTAGACCCTGGCATCTGGCAAAATAATTTTCTTACATTTTTTAAATTTGAACATATTTTGTTCTATTTTATTTTCATTCTATTTTATTGCTTTGTCTTTATGTATTTTAGCTTTTTAGTTTTGACCTTATTTCCCGCAACTGTAATATTTTTGTACAGTAAAAACTAACAACCGGAGAGTCAGTGCCTCTAGCCAGCAAGTGATAAACACCTAGGAAACCGTTACCGGGATCATCCAAAAACCGTTTGACCACGAAGCTTCGGCGGTTTCGCCGAATGCGAAATGCTGAAGAGGGATTACGGAAACCACTTTCAAAGTGAGGAAGCCTGTGTGCCGCTGACAGCTCCAGATCGGCCGCTATGAATCGTCTCTTTCATAAGTGGCCGGGCTCCATAGCTGAAAGGTTTTAGCGCCCACCTCCACCCTCCTCCTCCTCTTCCCATCATTCACCTCCCATTTTCCTACATAACCTTCTCTGTGTGCAGGCCCCTGGCCACCCTTCCAGTGCCTCTCCTCACCTCCCGCTGCACTACAAAGCCGTGCACAGCTCTGTCAGTCAGGCCAGATAAGGTAATCCTGTCCACTTGGCTGTTAGAGGTCTCGGGCCTCTGCTCTGATGAGTGGGACATCTTATATCTCACCTCCCCCCCCCCCCCCCCTCGCGGGGAAACGGGGGGCCCGGCGAGAGGGGCGAGCAGAAGAAGCCCTCGGGCTTTTGTCGGGTTTTTTTGTTCTTTATCTACCCCGAGCAGATTATTGAGCACTTAAGTTTTGATATGATCTACATGACAGACAAATTGCGGCGCGCTGTAAGGCGAGCCAGAGGTTTGAGAGCAGAGGAGGGACTAAGGCTGTTGAAGAAGCTGTTCTAGGTTAAGCCAGCGGGTTGGGGTGACTCACGGCTCCGCAGGGTGCGTTCTGGATGGTGACGGTGAACCTCCCTGAGCTGCGGCTCTTGGCGAGCACGTACTGGCACGTTGCGGGGAAGGTGTAGATCCGCCCGTCAAAGGACTGGAAATACATGTCGCCTGTCACTGAGCATTCACCTGTGGAAAAAGCATGACATTTGCAAAAAAACTGCATCGCTTTCTGAGAAAAATGCAACTTAAATCTCCCATTTCTGGTCCTCTTTCCTCCATAAGTATTTATTTTTTAAAGATAAAACATTTTCTTTTCATTTATCTCCCTCACTTGTTCCGTTTTATCTGAATTGACAGGTTTCAGACAGCATCCAGCTGTAAAACATCTGTATGTGTTAGAGAACCCGGAGGATGGCTGCCTCACATTGGAGGGTATTTTCCAGATTTGGCGCAGCCTAAATAAATTAAACTAATCTGAACTGCTTTCGGTGTTTTAATAGTGGGGTTTGCAGAGGGAATGTGGCAGATTGAGCAGAACAGAGTCCACGTCTTCTGTTTATTCTGGGTATGAATGCATGTTATGCTTTTACAAATATGCACATACAGCTACTCCAATGAGTAGGATTGTAATTTAAATCCCACCTGGAGATTACTCCTTTGGGTCCTTCTTTCTTTCCTGGGATGTCTTTTTTTTCTTTTCTGACAAACTCACTTTAAAGATATGGATCTATATCTGCTAACACTTTCCAACGTTTGCCACCTTCATTTTCTTCTCTGATGTTTCTTTATTGTATTTCTCTCTATCTTTCATTTCCTTAAATGGCAGATGCTAATTAGGGTTAATGACAGTGTGCTGGCGAATTCTAATTCTTATCGTGCTTTTGAAGCTTTTTCTGAACGTTAACTGGTTTTCAGCCATGTTTCTGAACACAGAAGCCTACAAAGGGGCCTCGCTTTTGTCCCCACACATCCCATCGAATGAGCCCTCCCATGGACGTGGAGTAAAAAAGAGGAAAAACGCAAACCTGGGCAGCTACGTTCAGTGCAGTTCCACACTCCTCCTGTGCACGTGCTGAAAGGAGAAAGCAGAGACGTCCACAGGTGGCTCTGAGAACATGAAAGGCTGAGCTAATAGCCGGTGGTCAGATCCCAGAGATTAAAAGGTTTGCGTGGGATATGCAGGAAAATGTCCTTTTACTTAAGAAACCGTGATTTTATTCAACATACTGTGGTTTAATGTGTTTATATGAGGACAGAGGAAGGTTTTCAGTGGAAAAAAGGGGGGTTGTATGTTAAACTGAAAACCTTCAACGCCACATCATCAGAAAACGGATCAATTCCAGTATGAAAGGAGGAGTTGGAGTTTTTGTGCTCACCAGTTGTTGCATTCCTCCTGCAGCATCTGTCCGGAGGGATAAACCATGCCGTGATATTCACACGGGCACTCAGAGGGCGTCACGCAGCCTCCATTCTCATAGATCAGACCTGGGAACACACAGGCTGCTCATTCATGCCCGCTCATGCCAGAGATGTAATCGTGATATCAGGTACAAGCGGCATCCAGTGACCACAGCTTTTTGTTTTCAACCAGAAAGCCTGAATTTGTGCTCATGAGTAAAAACAAATCAATCAAATGGTGTAAATAGCAGAGATATTATTCTTTTTTAAGAAAAAAGATCAATCTTTTTATAATCATACTGTCATCATTTCAATCATTGAAAAGCCAAACCTATAAAACTTATCAAATTGTGTAACTATAAAAAAGGTTATTGTGTGTTTTGGGGGAAAATAAATGCTCAATCTGTGTAAGAAGGAATAACTCAAATGAACCTGGGATAGAAGCATCAAAAGGGCAAACGAAAAGAAAACAACTGGTACAAGTCAGACTGAGTTAGTATGCCTTCAATAAGAAGAGCATCTCACAGAGGTAAAGACAGGGGAGGGGGCTGTTTAACCCTGTGAACTTGCGTAAAGGCAGCTAGCCTTCTTCTTCTTGGATCTTAAAGAAGTTTTAGAAATGAAAATCTCTTTTGGATGGGAGATGATCCAAGAAGACACCAGAAGAGATCCGTTTGCCTTCACTAAAGCTCAACTTAGACCTTTTAAAATGCATAATCATTTGTAGAAAAATTTGATGGAATATGTTTATTCTCATGTTATATCACATAACAAAGCTTCAGTAAAACAACATTCCCAAACAGGAAGGATCTCTGTGTTAAAAGTAAACAAAAAATAACTAAATGATCACATTTTTCAGGAAGACGGTGCAGCAGAAGCCAGTCAACATTAGCTAGTGTGTGTTAGCTCACCCTCGGGGCAGTAGCAGCCGTCCAGGCAGGCCAGCTTGGTGTCGATGCATTCGGGCTCCAGGCTGCAGGACGCCGGGCAGCAGCTTATGCATTCCCGCTGCTGCAGCCCCAGAGGACACGGCTTCTCTGGAAGCACACGGCACACACAACAGACCTTTAAAAGCAAACACAGGAACCAGGAGGCTCCACGCGGGCAGGAAAAACTGTCAGATGAGACCAGACGAGCAGATTCATAACCTCCGCTTTGGACAGTGTCTGTTAGTGTTTGAGTGGACGTGTGTGCACGTGTGTGCATGTGTGTGCACGTGTGTGGGAGACGCACCGCAGTGGGGCACCTGCCCCCTCCAGCCGTGCAGGGGGTGGTCGGCGTGGGCGCAGGCCCGGGCGTACTCGCTGAACACCTGGCAGAGCACCTCCCCGCCGGGCCCAGACCTTCAGCAGGGGGGGGAAACAGAGGGAACTTAAAGCCGGGCCGGGAGGGGCCTGGCTCTAACCCTGACCCTAACCCTGACCCTAACCCTAACACTAACCCTTCTTAATTGTGAGAAATAAATATTTTTTGGTTAAACTTGTTTGGACTTATTGTACAAACCTATTTAACATCCACTATTTTAACTTAATATTATGGATAGAGTTTAATTCAGTGTTTGCAAGATTCATTTCACTATTTTTAAATAAATGTCTATATTGCCATGAAGCAATTACGACAATGCATGTTTTATGCAACATTTTTGTATTTGGGAAATTTATGGCTTCTGTGAGTGTTCTGTGAGAGTTTTAAAAAAATTTAAAAAACGTCACCGAAAAAATTGCCTGGGATCTTCCTATTGGTGATCAATAGGAATCAAATCAAAATGGCCGACTTGGGTGTGGGGGAGTTGGGTATCCATCCTTGGCTTCCTACAGTCTGCAGCCAGACAAACTTGGGTCCTGCTGCCCACAGGGCTGCGAGTGAAGGGCTAAGGCTGGAAAAAGCTGGGTCTGTTTCTGTGATGCCCTGTGGGGGCACCGGTTGGGGTTCAGGGACAACTGTCCTGGTGGGACGCTTTCATATTATAACGCTTTCAAAATTATAATTATAAAGCAGGTTTACTGGGTTTGAATTCAAAAGGAAAAAGCCACAAATATCCTGTTTTCATCACATATTTTTTAAGTATGGTTATAAAAAGCAGAGGAAGTGTCCAAAAATATAATTTTGATTCTGTCATTTTACTCTTTATCTTGTTCTATCTGTCTATAATAAAGGCTTAAGACCAAAAATGTCCAATCAAACAATGTTCATCACAGAATCTGGGGAGTATAAACTATGGATCTTTGTATTTTCCAAGACGTTAATTCCTCTCATTTTTCCCTCCCAAAGGACAAAACAAAGTCCTGTCCACAGTGAGATCCTAATCAGTCCTTACGAGCAGAGGTCGTTGGAGCAGCTGGCCATGTAGGACAGGGGGCTCACAAAGTCGTGGCAGCTCTGGAAGGGGGGGTCGAGCAGCAGGGCACACAGCTCGTCCACCTCCTGAAACACAGTTTCAGACTTCTGTCCAACTTTTGGAGTCGGTTCTGCTGTTTGACCGGTGATTCCTGAGCTGGTCGAGTCTCACCTGGAGGACGAGGGCATCGAGTCCGGCACACGGTGAGGAGAAACCAGAGGGCACGGGGGGGCACGGCCCCTGGTGGGGGTCTGCTTCCAGCCAGCTGTTTCCAAACATTTCAATGTCCTGAGTCAGCACGCCTGAGAAAGCGGGAAAGGTCAGTATGTGATTTAATTCTGACAAAGAATACAATACAAAACATCTGCCCTTAGTGTGACTGTGTGTGGTTGTTGGTCCTTGTGTGTCTCTGTGTGTCCCTGTGAAGGACTGGGGACCGTCCAGGGTGTACCCTGCCTCTCGCCCGTTGACCACTGGGATAGGCTCCAGTTCCCCCTGACCCCATCAGGGAATAAGCAGTATTGATAATGGATGGATGGATGGATGTTACCATAATGGATGGATGGATAATAATAATTGTGGGTTCTTGCTGTCCTTATTGGAGCTTTAGCTTGATGCTCGCCAGACTCCCTTGTATCCAAACACTCCGAAAAATAAATCCACTAGTACGCTTCTTGTTTTTAACTGTTTACCTAAAAACTTCGCGCAACATTCCAAAAAACATAACATTTATTCACAAAATGAAATCTTCTAAATTCCAACAGAGCCTGGCAATGGCGACGTCAAAAAACTATTAAGCTCCAATCTCCTTCCAACTGACCACGCTCCCCTGGCATGAAGGTAAATCACCTGCTGGAAGGTTTTTAAACTTCACAATAAAAGTCTTATTCACACGATATCAATGAACTGTAAATATACATTTTCAATCCTTTTAAATCCTTTTGAATCATTAAATAACAAAAAATATTTATGTTACTCGTGAATTAGCATATTTTTAAGTATGCCTGTATAGGCCTGTAACTGCACTGCCATCTCACCGTAGCTGGTTTTCAGGTCGTCCTGGACGTCGGCGTTGAAGTTGCCGCACATCCCGCAGGTCCGGCCCACGAACTCGGGGTGGGGCTTGATGTAGACGGAGCCGGCGCCCCCCTCCCAGGCCAGCGTGAAGCCCCGGGGCTGCGTCACCAGCACGTACTGGCCGATCCGCTCCAGCTGCAGCTGGTGGAGGTGGTGGGGCAGCTGCAGGCTGAGCACAGCAGAGCCGGTCAGTTTTCCCCTCTCCCCTCCCACCCCACCCCCCGCCGGGCCGGCCCTGATGCTGACCTTTGACCTTCGTAGGTGACGCCGCCGGCGTGCAGCCGGAGCTCGCCCTCCCACGGCAGGAAGAGGCTGACGGAGCGCTGGCAGCTATAGGGGGCGGAGCCGCAGCCCGGGTCGTTGTGCACCTGCAGGCACGGAGAGCCGAAATCAAGCCGACATGAAGCCGACATGAAGCTGACATGAAGCTGATACGAAGCCGACATGAAGCTGACATGAGGCCGACATGAAGCTGACATGAAGCTGATATGAAGCCAATATGAAGCTGACATGAAGCTGATACTAAGCTGAAATGATGCCGACATAAAGCCGACATGAAGCTGACATGAAGCCGACACGAAGCTGAAATGAAGCCGACATGAAGCCGACATGAAGCTAAAATGAAGCCAACATGAAGCCGACATGAAGCCGAAATGAAGCCAACATGAAGCCGACATGAAGCCGACATGAAGCCGACACGAGGCTGACATGTAGCCGACATGAAGCCGACTTGAAGCTAAAATGAAGCCGACATGAAGCTGAAATTAAGCTAAAATGAGGCTCAAATGAAGCCGACATGAAGCTGAAATGAAGCTGACATGAAGCAAGCTGAC